TTTTTTTTTTTTTTTTTTTTTTTTTTTTTTTTTTTTTTTTTTTTTTTTTTTTTTTGGGTGGGGGGGAAAGGGGTGGGGGGGCGGATGTTTTGTTAGTGTTGTTTGTGATACTCGGTTTATTTCTTCCTCCCTGGTGGACTGTCTTGCCCCGTCTTCACCCGCACAGAACACCCGGTATTTATCGCTGTGTCTAGACCGAAAGTTGGCCCAAATACAGTTATAACGACTGGGCGTTCTATTCGGGTGAAGACGGTAGGGATTCGCCTCACACCCAGTGTTTATCGCTGTGTCTAGACCGAAAGTTGGCCCAAATACAGTTATAATGACGGGGCGTTCTATTCGGGTGAAGACGGTAGGGATTCACCTCACACCCAGTATTTATCGCTGTGTCTAGACCGAAAGTTGGCCCAAATACAGTTATAATGACCAGGCGTTCTATTCGGGTGAAGACGGTAGGGATTCGCCTGATTTGGGGTGTTACTTTTACCCCCTGTAGTTTGTGGGTTAGATTGCGGTCTTTAGGTCATGCGGGTCGCCTCTCCTGCAATCAGACTCGCTTTCATTCACACCTCACATGCATGCAAACAGGTTGCACAGCAAACTGGCGACAAGCGCCCACTCAAAACTCAGAGGGACGGTAACCACAAACACAGTTCAGATGCAATCTCACTTCAGATGGCTATGGCGCATCAGCGCCTATACAATTTTCTGTTCGTCACGCACACGACGCTGCTGTTCATACACCGGATCACCCTGGATATCCCACACGCGTCACGCTGTACACGCACACACACACACACACACACACACACACAGACACACACACACACACACACACACACACACACACACACACACACACACACATGCTACTCCCTTCTAATAGCTATGGCGTCTACGGCCGCTGCTACCACTATTGCTATGGCTAAGCTCCTTCTCGCCCTCTTCGTCCTTGGGCTCACTGCAGACCACCTCACACAAGTCGCTATGGCAGCGCTTCCGCATGGCTTACGCAGGAATGCATGAATGGCTGGGCGCTGCCTCTTGATTTATACCTCTGTAACTCGCTGGTCTGCCCTTTTCCATCGACCCATGGTGCACACAGTCCCTCATGGTACTTGCTGGACTGGACTGGGACTGACTGGGACCGGTACCACTGACTGCATGGGTTTGCACTGCCAACTCGATGCAGTCGCACTGCCGACGTAACGCAGTTGGGCTCACCACTTGCCCACTTGCCTCTGCCTAAACGTGAGCCCACTCCGAAAGGCCACTTTCGGGACCTTCCAGAAGTCTGTGGACTTGGCCTTTTGGGTATTGTAGCAGCTACGACCTTGACCTTTCAGGGCTGTAGCAGCTACGACCTTGACCTTTCAGGATTCCTACAGCTATGACCTTGACCTTTCAGGATTCCTACAGCTACGACCTCTACAGAGCTGTGATCCCTACTCAACAGACCTACAGATCGAATCCCTACATCTGCATGGTCCTACGACAGGCAAACAACAACTAACAAAACACAGGTCACGGGTTCAAACACTCAGGGGGGTCAACTCGATACTGTACACAGGTAAGGTCAGATCTAGGGATCGAGCCCTGGGATCTGCATTTGCTACTGCTAGCAGGTGAAAACCGTTTCACTCCCCTCTGCGGCTTGTACGTTAGATTACGTTTTTCACTTTTCAGGCCGTCGTGCAGTATTTTGCGGCCTGGTGTTTTTTTGTGAAAAACCGACTCGGGCGAAGAAAAACAAGCCCGCACGCGAGCTCATACAGAGTAGAAGGTAGTTGGTGGAAGATCCTAGTTGGGCAGTTTGGTTCCTTGTTCTTGGTCGGTCGGCAGGAGGCTGGACCTGGTCGGTGAGCCTCGACCGGCCCCCCTGCACCCCCTGCTGGATGTCAGGACGCCGGACGCGTTTCCCAAATTTAATAATTAAAAAAAAAAAAGAGACTAAGTCGGGCGCTTACAGGTGTGTGCGGCAAGTGCTTGAAATTTCAAAAAGGAAAAAAAAAAAAAGGGACGGGCGCTTATCCGTGTATGCGGTAAGAGCATACTGCTTCCAGTCTGTGCGGGTGGTGTCCCATGCAGGCTGTAGCTATGCAGTTGGGAGGCTCACGAGCAGCAAGCGGTAGCTGTGCACAAATAGGCCCTCAGATGGATTGGTGATTTCCGGGTACAAAAAGACGAGATGTGCAATAAAATGGAGAATCTGATGTGCCTGTTGGATTTTCGAAGAACTGTTTCCCGGCAATATCTCTCTCTCTCTCTCTCTCTCTCTCTATATATATATATATGTATTGTCCTCTCTCCCTCTCCTGCCTACGGTTTACCGGGCAGCTCTGTTTGATGATATGTGTATATCGTCAAACAGAGCTTCCCGGTGGACCGTAGTAGGCAGAGAGGGAGGGACAAGAGGGAAAAGAGGACAACAAACGAGGGGGGGCTGTGACAAACAGTTTCGTCGGAGTTTCACCTCCCTACCTACTCATCAGGAGGAGGCTGAACCCTCAACAGGAGTCTGCAGAATCCCCTAACTGATTACAGTGCAACTGATAATCCACCTTAACCCTGGCTGTGGTTAAGCGTCTAATATATGTATTTTATAATATTTATATGTATATATCGTCAAATATATGTATTTATTAACATGCTTGCTTGCTTGCTTGCTTTTTTTTTTTTTTTTTTA